CACATATTTACATGTAGACATAAGCTAGAAAAAGCCCACGCACCCAAACATGTGAATATAGTGGGATGACTACATAGAGGTAGCCTAAAAGCAACTAGTCAAACGCACTCACAATACAATAGGAGAATACAAACTCCCAAAAGGAGAAAACAAGATCCTAAAAAGGAGACCACAACCTCATAAGCAGCTGAAAAAACACCAACACCACAAACTACACACGACCAGTGACGGATCCATATATGGGTCAGCCAAGGCAATTGCCTAGGCTGAATTTTTATTGTTAACTTTTTATAGTTGCATGTGTTAATTATAAATTTATATCTAATATTTGTAAAATATAAATACAAGTTCTTATTTTAAATTTTTAAACAATTCTTACAAAATAACATTATAATCTTTTATTTAATATGATACACATCACCTGTCAATTGCATTGTATTACAATATTTGTAATACTTATACCGTATAATCGGATTGATACATAAATTTATTGTTTTCAGTTATAGTTAATAAATATTTAATTTTTTATTGATAGAGATTCGATAGATAGAGTTATTTCAATTTATATAAGATAATAATGTCAAACTATATCGTCAAAATATGATTAGTTCAATTTATCATATATAAAAAATGATAACAAATATAAATATTATTAACTTTTAAAATATATTTACAAGTTAAATTAGACAAATGTTAAATTTGGAAGTTCTAATAAACATGAATAAAATAATGTTTACTAAGAAGATAGTCAATAAGGAACTCTTTATAAAATAACATAACCTAAAATGATAATATTTATGTTTTTTTTTTATATTAGTAAATTTTATTTCAAAATGACTTTTTATAACTTATACAAAAAATTATGGAAACATTAATGTATAATATTTTTGGTATATTCATTAATAATAATAAAAACACGAAATCAAATAAACAGAGACCCGCTTCTTCATTTCATTTTTTGAGCACCAAGTCATTGCAAATTGAATAGAGAACCCATCAAGACCCGATTGCTTGAACGAGATTTATTTAATTGTTAATATAAGTACTTTGTGCAATATGGTTAAAATTTTTCTTCAACTATTTTTTGTCCTGACTCATGAAAATTTCTGGATCCATGCTGCAGACACCAATAATTAACACAAACACCAATCACACCAACGAACGGTCCCCACATAAAACGAAATACTGCCTAACCAAGATCTAGAAACTATAAAACGAAGATGATAAGATCCAAAGACGGGGAGTTAGTGACCTCAAGTTCGCCGTGCAGACGTCAGGACCCCTCCTTAAGCACCGCCATGGCAACCGAGATGCGAAGACGTGCCACGCCATAAAGCAGGGGACGACACGGCGGGATGCTCGCTAACACCCCATTGTAGAACATCACCGCGACGGAAGGGAGGTTGTCGCAGAATAGGGATTTATTGTTCTAATTTGGCCGGGACTTTTACTTTTTCTTTCGAAGACCGAGAATATAATAGTCTACTTGCTAGTTGCTACTAATGTATATATTCTTACCATACTAAATAATATATAGTATCAAGATTTAATTAAATACATCTGAGAAAAAGTATATATTCCCTTTTGTAATACTTGCATGAAAAATCACTAAGATATTATTTTGACAAACTAATTATGTCAAAAATATAAATCTCCCACATTTATTCAAGAAATTAACCTACCAAATCCAAATTCATACTAATAAAGTGGCATATATAACCGAATTCAATAATAAATTAAATAAATAATAATTATATAATCCTATATATCGTCGTCATCCTCGTAAAGTCACAATCAGTTTCTATTTTTATTTCCTGCCGGCTGCCTCCGGTCAGCCTTATCCTCCCCCTCCTGTACCTTCCCTACATTTTGTCCAGTTCCCACCTTGTCATAGCCTGCACTAGTTGGACTCCTTGACATCTTGTCGTCGCTAGTTTGTTTGGCCTCGTCATGAAGCGTGAAGAGATGTTCGACCTCCTCGTGGAAAACATCGACGTGCTGCCTCGGGACTCGACTGAGCGCCTGGAGCAGCCGCCGCTCGACCAAATCGGCCTCATTCATCGGCAGCCGCCGTCTGTCCATGCTTCTTTGTCTCTGCGTGCGTGTGTGGCTTTTAGTTTTTTAATTTCTCAAGGGTGATGTGTTAATTATATAGTTACTATAGACTTTCTCTGCTGGGAGAAATCCTTATGCGTCAGTGTCTATGTAATTGAGTTTTTATGTTGGGAGGAGTCTTCATGTTTTAAGGATGAATTTGGATATATTATTACATGGCAACAAAAAAATTTAATTAGAGAAAGAAGATTGAAGGGAAGATTTAATTGTCATATATATAATGGTAACATAATATTTGATATATATCCCTATATATTAATCAAGAACGCGCTAAGCCTACGTGGCTGTTTCTGGTGCTTCGGAATCCTATGTGGCAAAATTACATGTTTTGTTATTAGGCTTGGGTAAATTTTAATTTAATTTTAAACCAAAATAATTAGGTTCCAATTACCATAAATATGTTGATTATTTATAGTCATTTAATGTATTAATTACATTTTAATATCATTCCTTATTTTATAACTATTGAATTGTATATATATTTTAAAAGTTAATAACTTTTGTATTTTTTATCAGTTTTACATATGTAATATATAAAATTAATCTTCTTTTGATGAACTTCGATTTAACATCCATATTGTATGTATAAAAAAATTTATATTCATCTTTATAACAATAATAAAATTATTTTTAATATTAATTAGAAAAATAAAATTATTTATCAACTAATTATATATTTATATTTCAAGTAGTTATATGATATAAGTTATAAAAACTATTCTATATGTATATATATATATATATATATATATATAAAGTCATCTTATTTACTAAATTTAGTAATAAGAAAAGTCAAAGGATAATTAATGTTTTTTATTTTTATCATTTTTTCAATTGTATTATTATTTTATAGCTAAAAAATCGGTCTGCATATTCCATCCTTAATTGATGTGTTTTGCAATAAAATCGAACAGATAGACTTCAAGTAAAAACATGTCTTATTTCAAATTTAAATTTAAATATTAAAATTTCTTATCATTTTGTTACATTTTCGGATGATTTGTTTCCCTAACATCAGACAAAATTAATAATTGCATAGAATTCAAGTATGATTTCGAATTTATATCAAGGATGTTTAAATGCATAGAATTTTAAAGATGTTTATTTATTATAGAAAAATTAAATTCTGAAAAAAGCATTCGTGTATATTTGTAAAATGTTTGTACAAAATATTTTACTATAAATTTATTAATCTAAATTAATAAATAATATTAACATACATTAAATATTCTAATTACATATAACAAAAAGAGGACGAAGAGTACATCTATAACCTTTATAAATAATAATAATTACAATATATTGTAATAAATTTTATAATAAAATAATATGAGTATTATAAGAAGAACAAAAATACGTAAAATCCATGTTTTAAACACCGGTTCATACCGGCCGGTATTACCGGTAATACCGGATACCG